TCCCCGTCCATAACATCCACATAATACAGGATGTCGGTGCTGTCTCCCGGGGGCTGAGACTAGATCTCACTTAAGGCTCTAGTGTGAATGGGCAGCCAGCCTTCAGGTGCAGGATCCTCTAGCGAAGTCAAGGCTGAGGGTCCAACCCTGCTGTGCCCTGGCTCATTCCCACCATCACTCATCTCAAAAGCATCCTGGGAGCTTAGGAATGACTCAGGTCAAGCCATCCCCACCCCTCTGAACCGAATGCCATTCCAATGGCTCAGTGCGACCTGGGTGTGGACGGCCACCGGTTCCACCGGAGTCAGGGTCCTGGGGCCCATGATCCAGCACTGACCGATCTGTTCCTTCTCCTGAACACGGGGACCTTATTCCCCTGCCCTGAGTTCCTCCCTGGGCCACAGTGAAACAACCGAATGAGATTTTATGTATGCAAGTTATAAACAAAGAAGTCAAACACAATATAGAGAGACGTGGTTTTCCTTGTGCAGAGGGGCACGCACCACTCGCGTTACTTGACTTTGCAGCTGGGTCCCTTTGCTTTTTCTTCAAGCCCCTTTAAACGGCGTATACGCGTAACCACATGTTCCTGTGAACTACAAAGACTTCTTAATAAGACAAGCCTGACTCCTCCCACCCCGCTCTCGGGCTAATCTGTGTGGCCACGGTCGTGGTATCTCTGAGCACGTTTGCCATGACAGCATTTTCCTTCATTCAAAACTCTACCCGTGAATGACATCACGCACAACTGGGACTTCAAGCAGCAAATAAACAACTGATGAATGCACAAAAACAATGGCAAACAGCTCCCGGAATGAAATGAATAAACTTGTTTTAATTGGATAGAAGCAGAACAGAAGTAGAATTGTTTTTCTGGGGGTAACTCCAGGCCATTTAAAGCTCATCGTTCTCCAACGCTGCACAGAACGCCCTGCCTGGCTGCTCGCTCCACGTCCCATGCACAGGACAAAACGCGCGGACAGGGGTCACATGCGCCCCCGCGCAGGCAGCTGCGCCGTCAGAGGAGGCACAAATGCCTCCCCACGTCGAACGTGCCCCCGGCAAGCACGCGCGCCGGCAGCTAGCCGGGCTCTGGCTGGTGGGGCCACGGGCGCAAGTCTCTGTCTCTCTGGTTTTTGTACAGAAGTGCAGCAAACTGTAGATCGACATCCAGACTCTGTTGCACACAAGAAATATTTACATCCAAACGAAGTACTATTTATTAAAATTTCAGTAGTGAAAACTGTAAAGTGCTAAGTTACAAACCATCTTTATCAAGTCCATTTACTGAAAAATAAAATCAAGTGAGACAGCAGCTGCTGATGGCCAGGCCCTCCCAGGACAGAGGGGCCAGGGAAACGGTGGTTCCTCCTACGGAGCCCCAGCCCCAGCCCCAGCCTGCAGGTGACCCACCTCCACGCCCCACCCCCCACTTCACAGCCAGACAGCACCTAGGGCAGGTTAGGGTACCCCATGTGCTCTTTCAGCCAGAATGCCAAACTGCCTCGATGTCGCTCACAACTGGAGTCTCCCCAGAGTACAGTTGCTGGAGACTCACTTCTCCAGCCTTGGCAGAACTTAGTGGCCAGACCTGGTGGGCATTTTACATGCTCATCTGCTGGGAGGGACCTCCCACAGGAGGGGCTCTGGACCCCAGGACGCCTGGGTCAGGGGCCTGGCCTGGGATTTCTCAAGGCCTCTTGGGAGATTCGAGAGGGCAGGCAGGTTGGACACCTTGGCCCCCGACTTTCCTGGAGGCCAGGGCCACAGCTGTATGCCCAGACCCAGGAAGAGCACCTGCTGCCGCCGCGTCCAGCATGGGAGGTATTCACGCGCGGGGATGGAGGGGCCCAGCTCCGGGCCACACTGGGGACATGAGCACACACGTCTCTCACCCTTCCCTCTTCTCTGGCGAGAAGAAAGCCGAGTGAAGGAACAAAACAGCTGACCACAGAAAGACACAGCTTCCCAAACGGCTCTAGGCTTGGGGAGGGGGACACAGTCAATTCGGTATGAAGACATTACTCCTTCCACCGCAAGAAGGCTGGACGGTCCGCACTGACCGGCCCGCTCACATCCCCAGGCCCTCCAAGCTGGGCAGAACCCTCTAGGACTTTTAAGAATGGATTAAAAAGACAGGTGCCTTCCTAACCACCTCTTCAGGGACCAAAATGACAACATGCGACAGAGCAGACGGAAGCTTCGTACCCGGCAGTTACAAGACGCGCGGAGCGCTCCCCCCTCCAGAGGGCAGCCTGCCAGCCCCGATATTCCACCCATGGAAAGCATTCCCTCCACTTCACAGTGGCAGGATTCTGTGACACGCAGTCATAGGGGTTAACAGAAAAATAATGCTTATTTTCTCGATTTTTCTAAGACAGAGAGCAACAGGTCATTTTGTAATTTCTAGCTGTTGTATTAAACTGAACATGAACGGGCTTCCAAGTGGCCTAAACCAAGAGGAACAGGAAGAAAATGAGTAAACTCGCTCTCATCTTGAACCACCATGCACGGCGAAAGTGAGACCCCCGGGAGTCGGGGCGCGGGAATCGGCCGGCCGTGCGCTGCGGGCCGTGGGGTGGGCGCCTCGGCCGCGTGTCCCTCGGAGGCCCTGGATGCGGGGCCCGGACCGGCCCACTTGGTGACACGCCGCCTCCCCCTCCCGCCTCTCGCCGCCGCGGGGCCTTCTGCATCAAGTGCTCCAGAGTTCAGGCAGCAGAGAAATCAAGGCGACCCAGGAGCACAGACGTATTTCCTAGCACACGCACTTGGGCGTGAAAACTGAACTTGCACACTTCTGTCCTGGCAGAGGCAAGAGCGTCCCCGAGCCGAGGAGTAACTGCTAATACGGGGAAGCAGCCCATCAGGAGGAGGCCGTCTGTCTCATTGAAACAGAGGAGTTTAATAGTTTACATATACTCCGTATCCTGTACACAGTTCACCAAAATGAAAAAACTAAACCTAAGTCCTGAAGACAGACCTCCACGCTCCGTCAAGTCTGAAAACCACACAAGCGACAAATAACTGCACACAAATCCATTTGCAAAACGTCCATGTCCCTCACACACAGGCTGAGGCCGGAGGGTCCTTCCGGCGTCCGCAGCTCCCGGCTCACTCCTAACATCAGCACTGTCCTGTCGGGGGTTCTCGCTACAAAATATGCGGCACATTCAGTTCTCCATCGGCTGGAGGACGAAGTCAATCCGCTGCACAGCCTGATTCTGGCACTCCCTAGGAAAAGCAGAGCCTGCCAAACTCCCCGGGTCGGGGCTCAGCTGTAAGCGGTCCCACAAGCACTAACCCAGCTCCAGACTCACCCTCGGTTTGTCTTGTCCAGGGTGACGGCCTCCCCACCCCCCGCCCCAAAGAAGCCACTGCGTCAGCTGGAGACCCAGAACCAGGCAGCAGCGAACCTACCGGGACAACGCCTCCTTCCAGGCCCAGAGAGTCTCTCCAGCCTCAGGGTTTTTTTTCTTTTTTTTTTTTTAAGATTTATTTATTTGACAGAGAGAGAGACAGCGAGAGAGGGAACACAAGCAGGGGGAGCGGGAGAGGGAGAAGCAGGCTTCCCTCGGAGCAGGGAGCCCGATGCGGGGCTCGATCCCAGGACCCTTGGACCATGACCTGAGCCGAAGGCAGACGCCTAACCAACTGAGCCACCCAGGCGCCCCCTCAGGTTTTTCTTTTAAAACCTAAGAATAACAAGAACCTCCCTCCAAGGAGGTCCTGAGGACCTGACAACATTCAGAAATGTTTCATAAATTATAAGGTGCTTTACAGATGTTTGTGTAATCAAGTATGTGATTCCTCGAGTAGGCAGGTGCTTGGCTGTTTATCTCGTTTATCATCTCCCCGTGGGCCCCCCACCCCCCACCCCATCACATCTCAGTGCCTCAACCCACTTTCAGGGCTTCTCCCATTTTCTCTGCTAGTTTGGAGAAGCAAAGTCAAGAGCTGCCATATCCCTCACCAGGCAAAATAACACAAGATGGCAGAATTAGATGACGCCAGTAAAAGGCTTTAAATGCTCTAGATATTGTTCCAAAGACTCTATTTTCCTTTTATACTGTTAAATATGAACTGATGTCTTCACAATGGCTGATCGGGCACTACAGGTTATTGTCCCTTGTCACCTCCTTCACTTCACCTAATAAGCTCTGCCTTTCTCCCTCTCCGCCAGTCACACTGATCCACTTCTCATTCGGGAACATGGCAGCAATCTTCTGCCCCAGGGCGTTTGCACGGCTACTCATTTCCTTTGTCTATATGAATTCTCCCCCTAAATATCTACAAGACCCGCTTCCTCATCCTACAAGACCTGCGTCCTCACCACCTTCAAGTTGTCACCTTTGCCCTCTCTTCCTTCCCCACTTAATTTTCTGGAGCATCTATTATTACCTACAATGCTTCACCATCTGAACACATTTCAAAATTTAATTTATTTCCTAGGTCTCAAATATAGACTTGAAGATTGAGTACCTTTTGTTTTTCTTTTTAGCATGGAAACCAAACCTGTTTCTTTCTAGCCCACACTTCAGTATTTTTCAAGGAGTGAAACATTTTAAAAGTGTTTAACAAGTAACAACTGGCATCTTCGTAATGAAAAAAATATTCAACAATTTGATTAAATCTGAAAGTTGAAGGGAGATCTAACCTTTCTGCCCCTGTCCCTCCCACCCACAGCCCTTCTTTCTGCTAAGCAGCCATTGAGTGGCATTCCCATCACTTTGTTTGGGGGCCGCAGAATAAAGGGTGGGTTCACAGGAAGAACTTGCACCACCCGAACTAAAGAGAGGACATCTTTGCGAAGCAGCAGCGGATGGTGAGCCGAGAAGAATCAGAAGGCGCAGGAAAGGGAAGCCGGTAACCTAGCGTGGGGAAGTTTCTGGAATACTCCCTCTGACAGCAAAGACTGGGCACAAAGAGAAATCCTGGGACAGTTACAGGGCACAGGATAGAGTGAGCTACACCCAGCAGCCAGGACCCCAGCAAAATCAAACCTATTGTTTCTGAGAAGAAAACCGATCCAGAATCATCGGAGGTAACCCAAGAGGGTGGCGGAGGCGACTCTGCGCTGGACTGGCTCCATCAGAACCTTCCAGCGAGCCAGCCCACTGTGAAGGGTGGACACCTCCCGGAGGGCTCCGAGCGGCTGCCCAGGGGACAGCGTGCGTGGGGAGCACCGAGGGGCCAGAGGCTGGTTTCACGTCGCCCGTGACGACTCTGGTGTTGGGACACACTGAACCTCAATCGAGTGACTGGCTGAACCGTCTTCGACTCTAGGAAATGGCTTAAGACCCGAAGAATTCTGAACATTCCAGCTGAACAGGACAGACTCCAGAGTCGTGGAGATGAATGCTTATCACCCGGAGTTATTCTAGGAACTTAATTAAATGCTCCATGCCAGAGAAACTTGGGTATTTTACTGCTGTGGTTATTTCATTTGGAACGAAGACTACTAATAAACCAGCCCTACTGATAAGCTAAACTGCAAATAGTGATAAGAAGTAAAATGGAATTAAGGTGAGTCAGTTCTACTGCATCTTTAAAATTCTGATATGACCCTAAATACCAAAATGTCATTATATTTGGAAGCTACATAAACTTTAAACTTGGGGGAAAAAAGATGCTCATTTAGAAAACTGTCAAAATAAGTAAAAGCTAAAGAATGTTTTAAAATTCATTGTTTAGAAGTCTGTCAGGCTTTCATATCTAATATTTCCACACCATGCATTATTCAAGTTTTCATTTTTTTACTGAACCAATTGAAGTTAGTTTTCTGATGCTGACTGTAACATAATTGTACGCTCCTGGATTTATAATATCCTAAAGGAGGAAGAAATACAGATTTCGCAGTGTTGCAGCTAATATATTTTCCTAAATCCCACCTAAATATTTTCAGTTGAACCGTGTATTTATTAGAAGTCTACTCAGCAAACGAATGAAAGAAAGATCTTTGAAGAAGTGTCATCGAACTTACTTGATAAACATAACTGGAGGAGGGTATGAGTAGCTAATGGTGTTTTCTGTTTCATCTGTATATACAAAGTGCTATTTTAGGTCACCTTTATGCCAGAAAACAATTTTTGAAAACCCTACTATCGTATAAGAATAAAACAGTCGCATACATTGCCACAAGTCACTTGAGTAATTTACCTTCGAAAAAATGCATCCAGGCTGCAGCGTAAGAAACTGGCCACTTTCTAGCAACTTCTGCCACTTCAGGAGTTCAGGAGCTCCACTATGTTGACTGTCCCAGGGTCCTAGTACCCCCATTTCTCATCTTCAAACAAAATCAAGCTGCTCTACACACACTAATCCATGCCTTGTTTAATCCTGCTTATTGCTCAGAGTTTCTAAAGCACGATTTGCATAGTTTTTAAACTTAGTAAGAAGAACATCTTGGCCTATTTCCAAAACTTCTCCCCCACCTCACAATCCCCCCCCGACTCATCCACCCACCAGGTACCTGAGACTCTGCTCAGGGACAGGAGGGGAGGTGCTGGCCTGGCCTGGCGGGGACAATCCCCCCAGTGGGTGTGGGTGTGGCTTCTCCAAAGGCCTGGGAATTCCGGGCTTCACAGCCCACCCCCCGCCCCCAACTGCAGTCCGGACTTTCCGCTGGCTTCCCACCGCCCCCCATCCCCCGTGCTGGGCAGGGCAGCCACGCCAATTCCAGGGGTGCTCTAGGGAAGGGATCCAAACCTCACCCCGGGAAAGCCTGCTGGGCTTCTTTATGAAGACTCCCTACAGAGCAAGCACATCAGAATCTTCATTCGTCAGCTTTTCCCTTTATCCTGGTACGTGCTCCACAGCCAGAACCGAAGAGACCGGGCACTCTGAACTCTGCTCTTCCCTCAACCCGAAAAGCTGCACTGATGGGGAGGGAAGGGAAGGGCAGGGTCTCCCTGTTTTGCTGAGCCCCTGCGGCAGGCAGCCTGGGATGCCGCGCGGCTGGGTGGATTACGGTGCACCCTGCTTACCAGGCAGGCGTGGCCCCGAGGCTGCCATCTGCTAGGGAGGAAGTAGTCTCTCCGAGGATGCTGGAGACACCGGCAGCTAAAGCAAACAAAACTGACTCACCCACCAGAGCACAAGCCCATGGAGCCCCATGACCTTTTTTAAAAACTATGGACAGCTTATGAATTTTGGGTTGTTCACGTCTTCCCCTATGCCTTGGAAAGTGGGGTTACAGTCACATCATTAGGAAGGTAGAAAAACCCTTTCTCTTCATATAAAAATTCAGTTAAATGATTTTTTTTCTCAGGAAAAAGAAATCTCGAAAACAAGACAGGCACTCATGAAATAATCCAGTCCCCAGAAGATTACCACCTAGCAACAACTGATGAGTTAACTTATCGGTCCCTGGGCAAATTCTAAATTGGTTAGTTTTCAAATACACTCATCGTTAAAGAGGTTAATGACTCATTTCTTAGGAAACTGTTAATGGACTTATTCATAATGAGGAGAATATGGTATTTCAGTTATAGAATAAATACATCATAAAGACACCTCAAGCCGTGACCGGATGGACCGTCCAGGTTGAACCCATCACAAAGATCAAGGACGTACGTTTTATAATAGAGGCTTTTCCATTTGAATTATGCCAGGAATTTTCTTCTTCTTTCTTTTCTTTCTTTCTTTTTAACAAGTAAGCACATGATCTGGAATGTTTGCCAAAGCTTCTCTCCTCTGCCTCACCAGTAAACACTGCCCACATGGTCGTGAGCAGGCTCGTTCCCGGATTTACAGCCCGCTTCCTTACTTCGGTGCCTCTGTCTCCCCTACTTCTGGCGACCAGCAGACCTTTTGGTCTATACGTGAAGCAAAATGTCCCAAAGTAAAAAAGACAGATACCACTCGTAAAAGCGCTGAGTTGTTCTGCAGCGAACCGGACAGCCCTGGGAGAAAGTTACTCATCAGTGCACAAAGGACCCACAGAGACAGAGCATACTCTATTCTTTCTTGATAATATTTACAAACATTTCTACCAACTAATTAAATGGTGACCTTGGAGAAGAAGTCTGACCTCCCTGGGCCTCTGTGTTCACAATCTTAAATGAGTTACATTATACCAACAGCTCCCAGCTCTTCTCCCTTCAAACGAACTTGCATTCCCTTCTGATTCTCAACACGCTGTGTGGAAGGCGTTTTAATGCATTTGGTGCTGGGAGGGCGGGGAGGGGTCTTCTCAAGTATAATGTACAGCCGGCTTTGCTGAAGCCGAAACAGCTGGGGCAACGGGAGCTTTCCTCATCGCAGACCCCTAGAACTCCAGGAAGCCAGCCTGGAAGCCCCCAGAGCTGACCACCAACCAACAACCTCAAACACCTGAGGTCAGCGACACAGACACACTGAGAGCCGTCGAAGTCCTATCAGATCCTAAGCTCTCCACGCTGCCGGGTGTAGGACGGGTTTAAAGAAACTGGGGGGCTTTCCCTCCATGTCCTACTTCCTGCTCACCTGCCCACATTTTACTGGGAATGAATAAATACATGGAAGAAAAAAAGGAGAGAGAAATGAAGTAACTATCACCCAGCGACATAAAAAACCACACAGTGACCTTGAGAGCTGCGTGAGGCGGGTCCAGCAAAATCCCGATGTAACTACTGGCTGTGAGCTCCGGAAGCAGAGTCTGTAGGACGCGGACACAAGGGGATAGAATGTAAAGAGCACTCGGAGACGGAACCGCAGGACGCCCCAGGACAGCGCTGGTCCGTAGCGCCGTTCCGTGGATCGCCCAACAGTGCTCCTTTCGGCGCAGGGAACCTGGACAAGTCGCGGGGCATCTCCCTCAGCGGCAGATTCCTTATTTCCAAGGAGTGGCCCTGTCTATGTCACTGGGTTTTGCAGGATTACGTGATACTGCAGGTAGGAAAATGTCTCACCACCATGAAGTGAGAAAAAACACTTTCTGGATTTTAAACAATACTGCTGACCTGAAGGGGAGAGGGGCGCACAATAATCTTTCAGTAATGGTTACAATGTCACCAGCTCCCAGCTCCAGCTGCTTTCTTTCACTGCCCATCAAGTTTTGGGACTGTTAGTTACACATAATTTGGAGGCAAAAGATGGACTGACTTAAGTAACTACTTATAAATTTGCATGGTGAAAGCACTATGTCACATTCATGAATACTAAAGATTATGCATTAATACTACGGAAAAGCATAAATCCTTCTTGAGATAAACACATGGATTTTAAGGTAATTATTAAAGTCACATAATATAAAGAAATCTATCATAATCCCATTCTTACACATTGAAAAAACTGAAATTTAATACTAGAATATAATAATTCACACACTGATTTATACCAATACCATATGGATAGATTAAAGCACCAGTAAGACTAAAACTATACTTGAGGTTATAAAGTTTTAACATGATTAGAGAATATGTCATTATTCAGTATTCGAGTTTCAATTAAAAAAAATTCACATCAAAAAAAAAAATTCACATCAAGCCTCTTGGAGCATGACTAGATGAGAAATGGAGGCCCCCCCCCCCCCCCGCCATAAACACACACACAAAATATTTGTTTCTGGAAAATCTGATACTCGAAAATCAATACTAAAGGGGCCCCTGGGTGGTTCAGTCAGTTGAGCATCAGACTCTTGATTTTGACTCAGGTCACAATCTCAGGGTCGTGTGATCGGGCCCTGAGTGGGGCTCCGCACTCAGCACAGAGTCTGCTTGTCCCTCTCCCTCTGCTCCTACCCCCATCTCTAAAATAAATAAGTAAGACCTTAAAAATAAATAAATATATATATACACATAAAATCAATACTAAAAAAAAAAAAACCCAGTATTTACAAGGTGCTATGCATAGATCATTTATCTTTAAAGTATATTATATACCACAATATTTGACCAAATATTCCAAATTTCAGTAAAAGCACAGTAGGCAAAGAGTATTTTATAAATCTTTTCTGTGGGCATCAATATCATGTATGGCATAAGGAAAGAGGGCCAAATTTGAAGACGCCATTTACCTGATTGAGTTTTACAATGTCTCTGGACATGTAAAAGCAACTTTATGCAAATTTAATATTTTTCTGGTCCAATCACCGAGAAATCAGAACCCCTAACTTGCCTATTTTATCACTTGTAAACGTGCAGCCTTTAAATTTTAACCCAATTCTCTTTTAGCGTTCCCATGCAATGAATTCAATGAAGCAGCAAGAGCACCATGCCCAGAAGGATCTTGTATCATTTGTATCCACTGAGCAAGATGGTACCATACGACGTATATTCCAAGTCCCTCTCTTTAAACTTCCTTCTGTGCCTTTTATTTCTGTGCCCAGTTCATACAAGTCTCTATGGCTTTCTAGAAAGAAATCGAATCATCACCAGCAACACTCCGCCTCAGCATTTCCCCTATCTTGAAGGATGACTCCACGAGTTCCCCTCAGAAAAAAACCTACCACTGAACTCAGTCTACAATACAAGTAAAATTAACACAGTCTCCCCCACTTAAATGTGGATAGTTTGTTTTCACAAAACAACCACCTGATCAAGGACATGCTTATAACTGATCATTTTAGAGGGTAAGAACACTTTGTTTTCATTTGTTTATTAAAATGCCAACATTAAGATGCCTTGCCCATCTTGTACAGAAATACACATTCTCCTCATGTCTGTAGTAGACAAAATCGGCAGCGAATTCCCCTATTATTAGTGGACTCCGGTGAAGAACGGGCTTTGGGCGGCGCTTTACTTCCCTCTGAGTTCTTCCCCACTCCACTTGGCAATGCAGATAAAAGAGTAAAGTTACATTTTCCCTTAAGTTTCTAAGGTGAAACGGGAACACTTGATTCTGTGCTACCCAAAAAAACAAAACAAAAAGAACCCTCTCCACTTGCCAAATCTGATACCAAAAGTTAACCAGCTCTTGGAACTATGCTTCTACAGAAAATGCATTAGTGGGAATTTCAACAGAAAACCCATTATACCCATGCTGTTCGTTAAACTGCTGCAAGTTCTCCTCTCCAGAAAAAGAGAAAGATTCGTTTAATCCATATAGCTCCAAGGAAAATAAAACATTAATTATCTATGAGAATTCCTTTTGTGGGGGAGGAGGCCTGTGGAAAAGCAAATGACTCAAGCAAACTCTGGAGGTTTCCCTACCCTGTCTGACAACCACACAAATCAAAACTTTGGAGTGGCTCCCCTAATTAAATCAACCCAGGCCCAGCACTGGATTCAGCGGCTGAAAGTTCAAGGGTTCTGGTTTTCTTTCAATACACCCCACATTGACAGCCAACACTATCAGTTAAAAAAAAAAAAGGTATATTCTAATTAAAAAATGTTCATCTTGACAGTATCTCTTGACATACAAACAAATCATAAAAGGTAATCAAAAGGACAGTCTTAGTGTAGTTTCGGCATTAGGATGCTGTTTTCCCCATTGTTATTCTCCTGTGTAATTTAAACCACTACTTCATTGCAATTGATAATTATCTATGAACAACATCTCACCTTAAGTAAAGAGGGGGAAAACATGGTTCCTGGCGACTGGGGTGTTAACTAGCAAAGAAGCAAAAAAGACACGCGTTTCTTAAAAGGGTATTAGCTCCGTTTTCAGACTCTGAGTTTGTTTCTTTGTTTGTTTTTTTAAGAACGTTCATGGACAAAAGTGACTTTCCTGTAAATACTCATGGTTTCAAGGTAGTAAGTGTCAATAGCATCAGTGGGTTTATGAGCAGGATCCTTTAGAAGAGTGTTTTAACTGTTCTTCATTTTTATGATCTGCTGGACCGCCCAGTGGCCAAAGCCACGGAAGGGAGAGGGTTATAATTACCCCATTTTACAGACAGAGAAAGTGAGAAAGTGGGGTTAAATGGTTTTCCTCTGTCACACAATGACTCATTAGATCAGCAACCAGAAACCTGGTTTCCTGATTCCTGGTTTAATGTTCCACATACTATGCTTCCTTCTACGAAATACTATTTTTGTAAAGGTTTCTCTTTCAATAAAGGAAGTAGAACGAGTCACGTGACTTTCATTCACGAAAGCCTGTGTGTTTTCATTAGCACCTTGGTTGTCTGTGCCTGGGAACAGGGCCGGAGCAGTGTTATTATCTTGTTGCAACAGGAGCTGGACAGCACGCACAACAGAAAAATAAAGGGCATGTGGCTTGTCAAGCAACTGAAAGATATTCAAGTTTTCTTTGCTTTCGGACTTCCAATAGGCAATCCTTTTAAACATAAATCGTGATTATACTGTTCCTTTGGAGACATTCCTCTTATCCCCAAATTCTCTGACCATAGGATATGAATAAATAGTCCTTTTATCAAGCAGAATTTAAACACAGATGCTTTCAATGGTAACTCTTATCTAATCTGCCTTATACATACATGAAAACCAATTTTAGAATAAAAATCCCACTAAAGAGGAACAGAACACTAAGATAGCACCTTTTACGATAGACACCAACCTCCAATCACGGCACAAAAATGTATACAGTTAGTTTTTAAATGCTGCTTTAAAGCACAGTAAATCCTGTACTATATTTCCAGTTCTGAAACAACAACGCTCTGACAGATTGGTTGGATTTTCCTACACACACACACGCAAAACACACATTAAGGACCTTCCCTTGCTCCCAAGTAAGATGCATAATTTAGAGTTCAATTTTGATTTGCTCTGGATTAATATATACAACTATTGTATCATATATATTATTATTATATCTTAATCCAGAGCATGCGCGCGCGCGCACACACACACACACACACACACACACACACCCCTAAGGTATACTAACTTGTTTCTTTGGTTCCGGCACCAAAATCCCACCATCCCCAATTCTATTGTAAACAACTATCAAGCACTGCAGGAACCTTATGTCTTTGTTACCACTTATGCAAATGCCAAACCCTACCCAAACAACCCCGAATTATTCTGCTTCAGCATAATTAATGACGTTTCCCCATATGGAGCCTGAGGAGCTCAGTGTGGACACATAAGCCACTCCTGAGCACCAGGCCAGTGCACGCAATGACCCAGGAAGTTCTTCTCCTATTTCATCTTCAAAGAAATGCTTTCCAAGTCTTCTTTCCTATAAATCATTCTCCCAAAGGACGCTTATCTCCTGTGAACTTTTTATTTATGAGCACCACAAACAAATTTCTACACGCACACGTGAGTTAAATAAAAGTGGACGTTCACTTTGAGTTCCCTTCTGGCTCCGCAGACCACAACTCAGGTTCACGTTAATTAAGATGACATCCTTGTCTTTCCTGTTCTACTGTTCTCTGTGTCACATTAGTTTACTAGAAATCCATTTAGCATGCAGTCCTTTTAAAAAAAAAACTGTGGTTTTGGCACAATGGATCAATTGCAGCTCTCTATTTTGCTTAAAAATAGTCCTTTTCCTTCTTAAATGGGTGTTTACCATAATGCCCCCAGAGACTCTGGAAAAACGGCATGCAAATCCAATCTCATCTTTGTTCAGCCACCATAGAGCATATGAACTGCCGTTTTGGTTTCAGAGTCCTGAATCCTCTAGGTTGGAAGGAATTTTCTACTGGTGGGAAAACAAACAAAACAAGCTAAATCAGGTCTCGAACTAAACTTATCTCTTGCAGTTTAAAATTTTCCCTAGTCTGAAAAGGGCATTATATCATACATGAATCACGCTTCTGAATGTACCTCCTTTATCAGAACGGCCTCGAATCCTTTCAGGCTTGGCGACGAAAACCCCAGCTCGCTCCTCCTGCTGTAGCAAGAACCCACTCCTGGGGCCTGGCTGAGTCCAGTCCAGGTTTTCGCTGCCTACTTCGCCAAAAGGCGTAAAAGGTGTTACGTTCTCAGGCTGCTTTTCTGATTAGAATCAGATTTCAGCAAAATGTACTTTCATGTTCACTATGGCATATACCCCATACGCCCATCTGGGCATACGAAAAGAATTTTTGTGTGCATGCATTTTTTTTTTCCCCAACTCAGTTCCAGTCATGCTGGGGTGTCACTCTGGGCTGTGTCCTGGACGGCAGCTCACCCTCCAACTCCCTGACACACACGAGCCTTCTTCCAGAAGTGCCTGTTGTGCTTAACTCCAAGCAAAGTGACCTTCAGTGGAGAGTTATCGTTTATGGGATACATTCTGGCAAGTTCCAGCTGATGTCATTAGATGCTCAAGCACCACATTCCTGATAATTCTCTGTGACTCTTTTCATCTTTTACTCTATGGTTTTAGTAAAAAAAGTAAAACGCTCTCCCTCTATTATGTTAGAACAACAGGCTACTTACCCTACAGCTGCACTTTTAAACCGCAGGGACTAACAGTCCCAAGCATACGCCAAACCCTACGTTGGACTTAGACGGCGTCCAGCTACTCTGTTTACTTTAAGAACAAAAGGCGCATGGATCCCCAAGCCACCGAGATCATCACTTCGGTCCCTCTGCAGCCTGCTGACCTTAAGCCAGCATCCACAGAACACTATTCACTGCTTCCTGTTTTGGGGTGGCCCCAGAGCCTCTACCTTACTAGCAACACCCACCCCCACCAAAGAAAAATTAGGAATTGAATACTCACTCCCTCCTGTTCCCCAACCCCCGACCCCCAGCCGCTCAAAGTTTGAGCTCCTTAGAATGCACCACCAGCTGCAAGCAAGCACACCCCTCTCTCCTCATTGGATATTTGACGAGACGGTGAACAATACGGGGCACCCTCCTGTCCAGTTGTTCTGGAAAAGACCTGGGAGGTTGTCTTCCACTTACTCTCTCTAAAGCACTGATTCTAAATCCCGGCCACACGTTCCCATCACCTGGGCAAACTCTGGACGACGCTGGTGCCTGGGCTCTGCCCACCGGAGGCTTTGCCCGAATGTGTCTGGGCGAGGCCCGGCAGGTCCACCCTCAAGCCTCCTCAGGTGAGCCTACCGGAGGACAGGGTGCTCCGAGGATGCTCCCCGACCAGCAGCATCAACACCACCCGGGAACTTCTTAGAAGGGCACAGTCCAGGCCACACCCTACACCTACTGCATCAGAATCTCTGGGCTTTCTACAGCCCAGCCATCCAGGTTTAACTCCGACCAGGTGACTCCCAGGTACGCCCGGAACCACTGCTCTTACGCTGTGCGCACACACTGTCACCACTTCAGACCCTCAGGAGAAAAACGGTGTCTCCTGCGGCAAAGCCCCTCCAGTTTCCGTGTAAAACTGAAACGGTTAACTGTTCCTGTTGCTGTCACCAAAATGGACGCTCATTTTCTAAATGACTTGCAGGCCTGCTTTTATAAACTTCGGGGCTCAGCAAAGATCAGGTGGGACCTGGCTCCAGGAAAACAAAGGGAAAGGTGAGGGAGCTGTCAAACTTGAGGCCAAGAGCCCGCACCTGGCACTCTGGGGTGGCCGACCTGGGGAGACATCTGCCCTGGGAACCGATGGGAAGGGGCGGCTGTGGGAAAAAAGACCTGGGGCTCGGGGAGAACAACAAATCCAAGTCTCCTGAGTGGGAAGCTTCCCGTTCAGCTCAAAGACCCCCCGACTGCTCTTGGTGTTTGGAACAGAAGGAAGCCAGGGGAGCCCACAGGAAAACAAAACGAGAAGGCTGGTCCAGTATTTTGGCGCTGGGGTCAAGGTGCTGAAGAGGAGAATGGCCGTGAACCCGGAGCGGTTCACCGGCTTCCGCACCCTTCCCCCCGCCCGTCCCCCAGCCGTCCCCACCCCCCCCCCCCGTCCCCCCCCATCCGCAAGGTCCAAGGGCCTCACCTTTCACAATGGTGGCCTCCTTCAGGTGATGGGACAAGAAGTCAATGCTGGCATAGCTGCTGGCGGAGGGGAGGGCGCCGGGGCCCGGCCCCCCACACACCCCACCGCCGCTGCTGCCCCCCACGGCGCTGATGAGACCCCCGAGGCTGCGGGTGCGGCCCCAGGCGCTCTTGTCTCCGGGCTGTGGATGTGGATGCTGCTGCGGGGTGGGCGACAGCCCAGGCTCGTCCCTCACGTCGATGGCGATGTAATTGAGGCCGTTCTGGAAGCCGGCAGAGGCCTCCCTGCGCATCGGAGAGCCACTGCCCCCGGGGCAGCCAACCAAGCCCCCAGGCTGACCCGGCGCCCGTGGGCGCGCCTGCTGGGGGGGCGGCGGCTGCAACTGGCGGGGGGACGTGGGGCGCTCGTCTGCCCCACCCAGGACGCCGCTGCCGCCCCCTTCGCTGCTTTTCCTGAGACAGACGTTTTCCACAGAGGCCGAGTTGTGGCGCTTAGGGTTATGGGCGAAGGACGGGGACACGGGGGTCACAGTGGTGGTCGAGGAGAAGGTCTCGGAGCTGTGGCGGCGGCGGCCCCCCTGTGGGTCTGCGCGGATGACCTTGGCTCCCCGGTGCGGGTCTGGGGGCTGGCTCGCCTGCAGGAAGGCCTCCACCCCCGACACCTGATCCATGAGACTCAGCCTCTTCAAGCCGGACGTGGGGCTGGTCACGCGGGCACCTTCCGGCTTCGGGGGGGCCGCGATGGGTTGCGGCGGGGTGGCAGCTACGCCGAAGGCCATCTCGGTGTAGTCCCCACTGTCCCCAGGCTCCGGGGACGAAGAGCAGGCAGCGCTGGGGCCCTGGGAAGTGGCCGCCTGGGGCAGGCGGTACAGCTCCCCCGGCGGGGGCGGCGGGGGCGGCTGCGGCTGCGGGGAGGAGGTGGGGGCGGGAGGGCGCGGGGGCAGCGGCGGGTAGGGGGACGAGGCCTCGGGGGACAGGAGGGCATCCAGGGAGCCCACGGGGTCCCCGCTCCGGGGGCCCGGCTTGGGTGACTTGGGCGAGCTGAAGTCGAGGTTCATGTAGTCGGAGAGTGGGGAGCGCTGCCTGCTGTCGCTGCTCGTGCCCGGGGTGCCCGAGCCTAGGGATGAGGCCGGGCTGCTGGCCGACAGCAGCGAGGACGAGGAGGCCGCCGAAGCCAGCAGCGGAGGCGCGGGCGGAGACAGGCGAGCGGCGGCCTCGCCGAAGTCAATGTTGATGTACTCGCCGGGGCTCTTGGGCTCGGGCGGCAGAGGGTACTCGTGCGTGCTGGGCAGGGTCTGAAGCCCCTCCAGGGACAGGCGTGTGGGCCGCACTAACCGGCAGCGCTGGTTCAGGCAGCCGTCGGGGCGGCCACCAAGGCTGCCGCTCGGCCTGCCGGGCGAAGGCACTACTGGGGGAGGAGGCTGGGAGTGGCCGCCCGCCGCCGCGAGGGCGCCTGTGGACGGCGCGGTCCCCGGGCCGGCCGGCGGTTCCAGCCTCTCTTCTTCCAGGATGCGCCCCACGGGGGAGCTCATGAGCACGTACTGGTCGTTGTCCCCGTTGCACGTGTAGGGGGCCTTGTAGGAGCGGGGCAGGGAGCTGTAGCAATAGCCAGGGACTCCCCTGAGCATCTCCCCGCTGCCCTGCAAGGCTGCCGAGAAGAAGTCGGGAGGGGTCCCCGAGGGGCCCGCGTCGCTGGGGGACATGTTGAGGTAGTCCCCGTTGGGTAGCAGCCTGGCGTCGGCATGCTCCACGGACAGCCTGGAGCCACACCACATGCGCATGTACCCGCTGTCCTCGGGGGAGCTCTCGGCTGGGGAGCTCGCCTTGTAGCCGCCCCCGTTGGCTGGAAAGGCCCTGCCGGCCGTAGGGGTGGGCGCCGGCACTGCGGCTCCCGTGGGGGGCAGGGCTGCGGCGGCGGCGGCGGCGGCGCGGGGCTGCAGGATCTGCTTCGGCGCGGACACGCTAGTGGGGCTCATGGGCATGTAGTCATCGCTCCTACAGCTGCCGGGGCCACCACCCAGGAGAGCCACGCCAGGGGTCATGGGCATGTAGCCATCGTCGGCACCCAGGTTACTGCTAGAGCTCCTATGGGACCCGATCTCGATGTCGCCGTAGTCCTCGGGGTAGGGGTGGTAGGCCACTTTGGGAGACGACACGGGACAAGACGGGCAGAGGCGGCCGGAGCTGCCAGAGAAGGTGGCCCGCATCAGCGTGTATTCATCCAGGGACGCAGAGGAGGGCTGGGGCACCGGCCGCTGCCGGGCAGGTGTGGTCAGGGAGTAAGTCCTCTTCCTCAGCCCTCGGTCCAAGTCCTGGGCCCCATCCCCCGAGACCCTGCGGTAGGGGCGGCCACAGTGGCTCGGGGGCCTGTCCATAGTCATGTACCCGTACAGCTCGCCCCCGCTGCCGTCCCTGGCCGGGGGTGTCTCAGCGATGGACTCGGGCGTGTTGCTCCGGTGGCCGCAGAAGGCTCTCAGGTCCCCAGGGCTGGAGCCGTACTCATCCAGGGACATGAAGCCAGGATCGCTGGGGGAGCCCGAGGCCGAGGCGCTGCCGCTGGAGGGCCGCCCCTGGTGCAGGGGGTGCTGCAGGTGCGGGTGCGGGCCCGGAGGCGGCGGGTAGGAGCCGGAGCCGTGCCCGCTGCTGGACGACAGGCTGCTGGGGCTGGTGGCGGCTGGGGGCGAGTGCGCCACCGGCATGGACATGGAGCGGCTGTGTTGCAGGGCGCCCCCTGCCGGCGCCGGCGCCACCTTGCTCGCGCGGGCGCCGCAGCCGCCGCTCAGGGTGTGTGAGCGGCTCAGGGGCGCGCGCACCGGCCCGGGGCTCAGGGGACTCCCGGCCACCGACACCGGCCTGCCGCCCGCCGCCCCCGCCGCCGCCCCCGCCGCCGCGCCGCCGTCGCCCTCGCTGGCCGTGCGCACCCGACAGGAGCTGCACTTCGCGGCCGGCGGAGTGGCGGCCAGGCTGTCGGTGCGCGAGCGGCGCACCAGGCCCGTCTGGCTGGGGGGCAGGTTGACCAGGTGGTGGTGGCGGCGCGCGCCAGGGACGCTGATGGGGTGTGTGGAGGACGAGCCCGACGACTGGCTCTTACTGCGCGGCCGGAACTCGAAGAGCTCCTTGAGCGCCTTCATGGCCTCCAGGATGGTCTCGTGGATGTTCTGCGCCACCACCGAGTCGTCGGCCTGCATCCACAGCTCACCTGGGCCCGTGACGGCCGACCGGCCCACCTCAATGAAGAAGAAGCTGTCCGAGTGGCCGCAGCGGCGGATGTTCATGAGCTGCAGCGTCACCGACGGCTGCTCACAGTTGAGCTTCACGAAGCCGATGGTGCGCGCCGACAGGCACAGGCGGTACACGCCCGTCAGGTTCTTGCTCTGGCCCAGGCCCTTGGGCTTCAGGTTCACCTGCCACACCTCGCGGTAGGCGGCCGTGGCGGGCGCCACCAGCCCGTAGCTGTCATCGGCCGCGGCGGCGCCGGCCGAGCCGCCCAGGGCGCCGGGCAGGGAGGCGCTGCAGGACGCGGCGGTGGCGGCGGCGGGGGGCGCGTCGCCGGCGCGGCCCTCGCTGACCAGGTCGGTGAGCGCGCGGTACCAGCCCTCCTGCTCCTGCTCGTTCTCGGCCGCCACCGCGAAGTACTCGTCCTTGGTGTAGAGCGCGATCAGGTACTTGTGCTTGGCGTCGGCGCGCTTGTTGATGTTCAGGCAGCAGTCGAGCGCGATGACCCGCTTCGGGGCGCCCGCCTTGCTCCGCCACTTCTTCTCGCTCTCGTAGTACTCGAGCCGCGGCGGCTGCGGCGCCGGCCCCCCGCCCGCGGTCGCCGTCGCCTCGTCGCCGGGCCCGCGCAGCACGAAGAAGCGCTTGTGGCCGTGCTTCTGCTTGCGCAGGTAGCCGCACTTGCGCACGCTGTGGTTGTTGTTGTTGTTGTTGTTGAGGTTGGGGCCGTCGCCGCCCGCCGGCCCGGGGGGCCCATGCAGCGGCGGGCTCGCCATCGCCCGCGTTTCAGGCCGCGCCGCCCGGCCCGGCGTGGCGGAGCTGGGGGAGAGCGGAGGGGCGCGCGGGCGGGGGCGGCTCCCTCCCCTCCCCTGCTCGCCCGCCGGAGCCCGCGTCCCTCGGGCCCAGGAGGCGGGGAAGGTTGGGGGAGCCCGGCGGGGCCGGCACCGCGCGGTGGCGCAGCGCCCTCCGCGCTCCGGGCCCCGGAGGATGCCCGGCGCGGGCGGTGGCCGCCCCCCGGCCCGGCTGCCCGCGGCCGCTGTCTCCCGGGCTCTCGGGCGGCGCCTGGGGACTCGCTGGCCGGGCCGAGAGTCGGGGTCCCCGAGCCGCGGAGCCGAGCCTAAGGCGCGCGCGGCCGCACCGGTCCCGCCGCTGCGCCGCGCTGCGGGGTGCCGGGGCGCGCCCGGGCACTCGGGGTCCGCGCCGCCACCGGGGCTGCTGCTGCTGCTGCTGCTGCCAACGGCGACCCGGGCTCGTCGCGGTCCCCGCCGCACAGTGAGTAACACATCGCGCACCGAGTGACTGAACTAAGAAGAGCAAAACAACATGTGACTCGGCGTTACGCAGGCACACACGGCGCGGCCGCCCCGCCCCGCCGCCCGCATTGGCGCCGCGCCCCCCGACGGACGGCCCTCGCAGCCAATGGGAGCAGGCCGCGGGGGGGCGGGCCGCGCGCCCCCGCCCCGCCCCCCTTTCTCCCCGGGCTGCGTTTCCCGCCGTCCCCTCCCCCTCCCGCGGAGGCCGGGGCGCGGGCGCGGTGGGGGCCGGCCGAGCCTCATTAATCAGAGGCTCGTTGTGGATGCCGGCGGAGGAGATGCCACCCAGGGCGGGAAAAGGGGCGCGCAGGAGGGGCGGGGGCCGGCCTCTGCGCGGAGGGCCCTTCCCTCCCGCCCTTGACTCAGTTAATTGGGCTCGGAGCTTCCGCCGGGGAGGGGGCCGGGGGAGGGGACACTGCAGGGGGCGGGGGCCGGCGGAGATCAAGGGCCGAGACCGCCAGCCGGGGCTGGGCGCCGGGGGGGGTGCGGGGGCCGCAGCGCCCCTCCTCGGGCCCCGCATCGCCCAGCTGCCGCCCCACGCGCGGGGGCCCGAAGGGGCAGTGAACTTGGCTGCCCTCGCGTAACCCCCCCCCACCATCCTACACACTTGGGCGAGCGGGTCTGGCGCCCAAAGTCGGGGTGGGCGCGGGCCCGCCCGCCGCGGCGGGTTTGCGCCTGGGTGGTTCCCGGGTGCCCGGCCCGCGCCTTGTTTACGAGCATCACATTAGTCACCGGTGAGCGCTGGGTCGACAGCAGCTCGGTACCCTCTTCCTGGAGGGAGAGGGGGGCGCGGCGCCCCCGACCCCGGACAGCGCTCGCCTCGGGCGGCTCCCAGGGTCCCACCCGCTCGGGGGCGCCCCTCCCCCGCAGCCAGGTCGTGGGCTCTTCCGGGGCGTCCTCGGCGCCATTCACTTGTCAGGTTCTCGGGAAGTTGAAATCTTCTGTTTGGGATGAAATGAGGGAAGGAGAAGGAGGACGAGCAGGCGAGAAAATTGCAGTTTCCATAGTGCCGGAAAGAGGGCGGGCTCCGGCGAGAACGCAGCTCGAGCCCGCGTCCCCGCGTCCCCGCGGCGGGGTGCCCTCCTCCCCATCACACCCTCCCGGCCCCGCGCCCGGAGGCGCGGAGGTGGGCGGCTCCAGACCTGCGCGCCCTTCGCGGGCGGCGACTGCCTCGTCGAAATGCCCTTGAAGAAGTGCTTCCAGTGTGCACATCTACGGGGCTTTGTGACGGCTTCTGTGACTTTCCAAGTCGATTACAAATAGTGCCCCTGCGGTCACATCTCATAACCGTGGGGGCAACCGGTGAGGATGGGCGTCCCTGAGTTGAGACCGGAGCAGCCTCCGGGTCTTGCAGAGACTGAGACGAACAAAACCAGCCCTTGTCTATTCTCTTCCTTTAATTTGTGTATCTTCGTGAAATAATTTGAAACAATAATGTCGGTTATTTTCTATTAAGTCCTGGAAGTTCGCCTTTGAATGTCCTCTATAGTTTACAAAGGTCTTTATTTTAAATATAATGAAATCTTAAGTCTAAGGATAATAAGATTGTAATGTTTTAAAGGGTAATAAATATTTTCACATATTTGTCAGCATGTGACTTAAAGATTCTGCCAGTTGCTATCATGTGCCAAAAGAACCCTATTTACACAAAGAAAACAGCGTTTTAGCCAGTATAGTTATGATCATTGTGGAGTAGCATGAATTTGGGAAGAAGAATCAGTGAGGCGTGTATCATAGTAGAGTTTGCCTCAAAGAGGTATATTTAAAGTCGATCTTCCATTTTAAGTCATACTTTAAAAAATAATACCTTTTGGAATGTCGTTTTAAGTGTGTGTGCCTGTATGTGCGCGTGTGTGTGTGTGTGTGTGTGTGTGTAAGATTGTGTGTGTGTTGGGGGCACCTTTGTAGACATGGTGCTCTGGTTTTCTATTCCTTTTAGATCTTGTTGTCCTTTCTGTGTTAACAAATGTTGCCTAGCAATATGTCTACTCAGAAAGGAGAGATGAAGGGATTCTTGGAATTTGAAGAAAATGTGGCCCAATTTTGTCGGCTCTGTGATGATTTCCATCTTACTTTGTGAGGGATCTAAATGGGCCTGCCTATGTGTTCAGCAACCCTAACTAGCCAACAATGACCCTGGGATAACCTCCTTTCAGCCTCATGGGATAATGATCTCCTCTGAGAAAGTATCTTTTGCAATTGTTTCATTCTTTTCTTTTGGACTCCGGCTCTTTCTACAAAATTAGATTTTCGTATATTCACTGAATCCTTATTAGCCGTGCCCCTCAGATGTTAACAAGTGTCGTCTTTGGGGTGTTTGTTTTTTCCCTTAGGGCTATTCTAGTGTTAAATGCCATGTTCAAGTTAAGGTGTTAGAAGCTCTAAGTTGGCACTTGGCACTTTCCCCACGTGCTGCCTCAATCACCAAGGGAGGAGGGCGAAGAACTCTCACCTACACTGGTGGCATTCCCATACCAGAAAGATCACAAATCTGGAGCAAAACTGCAAACTAATTGTCATTCTGAAGTCCTAGAACCTCTAAACACAAGTGTGGGAGGTACAATTTCCATTCTCATTAAGAAGTCAGCCCATGAAACCAACAGTAAGGAACTCTGTAATTAGAAGTATCCCTGTCTTCTTCCTCAACGAAGGAGCTCATTGTCTTTCTCTCTTTCTACTGCCGAATAAGCTATTTATTTATTTAGAGCTTGTCCAACACCTTGTGAATTTCCAACTGTTCTCCCATACTTTTTCAGCAAAAGTCAGCTAATAACATCTGCCAACCTGCTCTCCACGCAGGGCTGGGTGCTGCTTTGCGTGGCCTGTTGCCAGCCAGCAGCCTGGATGAAATATTTTCTCATGCTCCAAGATCTTTCATTGGAAGTTCTCTTTGGCTTTACGGATAACTAAATGGCCATACCTTTTAGCATGGGGTGTTTTTTGTTTGTTTGTTTGTTTGTTTGTTTTGTTTTGTTTACGCAGAATCATACATAATGATTTTTTGATTAAAACAAAAAGTCCTTTCTGGAATCATTTAATTACCTTTCATAAAGTAGTCAATTTCATAAAAATGTAGACATTAAAAATGCATCACAAATCCATAATACAAATAATAATAATGCAAATAATAGTAAGGATCATTAATTCTGTTTCATGGAAGAAAGGCACACAGAGGAGGACAAAAGTAGATAACATTTTAGTGCTTGTGAGGTTTTTTTGTTTTGTTTTGTTTTGTTTAACCCCATGGTTGTTTGACAGTATTTCCTATCTGGATGAACTGTATCTAAAAATGGACTAAGCAGATAGTTAAGTGGAACATTATATAATCAGAATAGCTTCAATTTAAAATGTGCTTTAGGAGGAAAAAATAAAATAACATAACATAAAATAAAATATGCTTTCGGAGGAGGTATAGATTTGAACCTCAGAGCCTTATGTCAGAGGACCTAGTTAGTCTTTAAAAAAAGTGACAGGATTTCATCACATTTTGCTTTATTAAATAATGTATTTCAGTAGCTCGTTTAATACATTTCTCTTTCTCTGATGAATGAGCCATGCAAAGACAGCCTTTTTCCTCATCTAGAATTCGTAAGAGGACTTCCTGGACTTTCATAGCTGGGTTGTTGTTTTTTTTTTTACACCAATATATTTGCTAATATGTTTCAACTGAAATTTCACAAGAATTTTGTAACATGCTAATTGTGTGCAACAGAATGATTGACATGAGAGAATATAACTACTGTTTGGATAGCTTACATCTATGCATGGCATTCCAAATGTCTGAAGAATCAGGATTTGTTAATAGATCATACTGGTTCCTTGGAAATTGTAAAGTCTTTCCACTTTTGTATTTATTTTGTTTATTATAAATACTTATATGTTTTAGATGGTCTCTTAAATATTCATTAGGCAGGAGGGCTTTTCTAAAGGAGGGATTTTCTAAAATAAGTGACTATCTCGTGCATATAGGGTGGAGCAAACTACTATAACTTTGAATATAACTTAAAAATAAGAATTATTCTGAAAAATGTGTGCACTGAATTAATACTCTTTAGAAAAATACTCATTTATGTTGTGGGAACAAGTATAGTTCACCCAATACTCAAAACATTTTCATTTTGAATATAATTATGTTGGAGAAATTTAAACATATAAACAACCAATTACAAAGTGACTATAGTTAGTAACTTAAAATTTTTAGTAACTCACCTCTGGATTTTGTTGTGTTTGAATTTTGAAAATGTATCTCTACATTAAAAACAAACAAACAAACCCAAAAACCTTTTTTTCCCCATAGACTTTCCATGATAGAAATAAAAATTATACATTAATGACTGTATAACATTACTGAACCGTAAAAAAACAAAAAGATTCCTTCTTAGAATCTCTCTCTTGGAATGCTTGGCCCTGTAACTTAATACACTCACGTTTTGCACAACCAGATTGGCGCTCTGGGTAGAGCTGGCCCTCGGTGTCCTAGCTACTGGGTGAAAACGTTGTTTGTTTGTTGTTACTGTGGCTTTCTGTCAGAGCAGAACAAAATTGTCTGCTTCTCAATCTGTAGATCATGAGCAAGTGACATAAAAAAAAAAGTCTCTAAATGACACAGCTATATTTTCTGGGAGGGAGGGGTATGAGCGGTGAGGAGAGCTGCGTGTCCTTGAACAGAGCAAATGTTAGGAAGGAAAGATCAGCCCGTGTTCATTGATCCCACTGTTTGCTCTAGGAGTGAGCTTTCGCCCTGTTTGTAAACTGCTCAGGAGGTAAGTAGGACAGGAGCCATTCTGCTTTTTGCCAGATGCTATGGTGTTTTGTGGAACTGGGTTGTAGTCAGAAACCTTCTACTTTTCTGCAGTTCACGTGCTGTTTCTAGGCTTGCCTTTGAGTCTGTTTTCTAGAGTTGTTTTGAAATCCAACCTAAAGATAACAGCGAAATGTGAGCCGTTCTTGTGAATGGTGCCACCACCTGGCAATGCTGCTTCCTAAGGCAAAACAGGCTTTTTTG